TTTGAGACAGGGTCTCACTATGTTGTTGAGACTGACCTGGAACTCACTATGTAGCCCAGACTGGTCTCGAACTCATCATAGTGATCCTCCTGCCTCAGTCTCCTGAGTGCTGGGATTATAGGAGTGCGCCACCATGCCAGGCTCCATCTTACATTTTGAGTAGACGGTTCAGTAGGGTTAAGCAAGTTCACAATGTTGCATAACCAATTTCCATAACTTTTTCATCTTGAAAAACTGAAACTCTAGTCCCATTAAGCAACTCCCATCTCCCTCCTCACCTGCTGTCCTTGGCAACCACCATTCTACTTCCTGTTTCTATGATTAGATTATTCTAGATACTCCAAAGAAGCGAAATTCTTCAGCCCTGTTCTTTTTGTACTTATTTCACACAGAATACTGTTCTCAAGAGCTACCCATGTTGTAGCTTGTGTCAGAACTTCCTTCTGTTTCACGGTTGAATGATGTTCACACACACACACACACACACACACACACACACCACATTTAGTTCATCTGGACACTGACTGCCTCCATCTTTCAGCTGTTATGAAAGATGCTGCAGTGATCATAGGTGTACAAGTATCTTTTCAAGTCCTTCCTTTCAATTCTTTTAGATATATACCCAGAAGTGGAATTGCTGGTTATTTCATAATCCATTTTTTAATATTTTCAAGGAGCTGCCACGCTGCTTTCCACATCAGCTGTACCATCTCACATTCTACCAATGGCGTGTGAGAGTTTGAATCAATCCACATCCTCTCCCGTATTTGTTTACTTGTTATTTTCTGTGTTGGGGCTGGTTTCATTGTTGTTTTTACACTGGGGAATGAACCCAGTGCCTTCCCACTCACTGAGGTATATCCCTATCCCTTTTAAAAAATATTTTTATTTTGAAACAGGGTCTCATTAAGTTGTTAAATTGCCCATGCTGGGTTCGAACTTGCAAGCCTCCTGTCTCAGCCTCCCAGAGTGCTCAGATTATAAGCAAGCACCAGCATGCATTTTCTATATGTAACAGTAGTTGTCCTAATGAGTCTGACTGTAGCTTTGATTTGCATTTCTTTGATGACTAGCAATGTTGAACATCTTTTCACATCCTGTTAGCCATCCTATATCTTCTTTGCGGAAACATCTACAGAGCTTAAGTCCTTTACCTATTTTGTTGATCAGGTTATTTGTATTTTTGTTGTTAATGTGTAGAACCAAAGAGTAGAAACACTTTTAATAGTTTGATAAAAGTGATGGAACTCAGCTCTAGGGGCGTGGAACCACATACCCAGTCCCACGAGGGTGCCTATGACAGTGTAGTCTCGTCTGCTTTAACTTTTGCAGTAAAAAGAACAAATGAAAACTATTAAGTTAGTAAGCAAAATATGGCATCTCGTTTTAACTTTAAGCTACACCATTTTCCCCATTAAGTTTATTGGTACATTTAAAGCAAACAAAACAGTTACATTTATCACTGGGATCTTGACCTTTACACGATAGATCTTGGTTCTCGTTTCTTCCCCATATCGCTGTCCTCCCTTCATCCTCTTCACCCTCCCCTATTTACAAAGACTTTGTTTCCTTTTTTTCATTTTCTCACATTTTTTCTTTTCCCTTATTTCCTTTCCCCTCTTCCCGCTTCCCCTTTAGCCATATTCTTCCTATTTCACACTCTCAATTTTACTATTTAAACCTTAATTACACTTTTAATTTTTCACACCAGAGAAACTATTCAGCTTACTCAAGTGTGTCCTATTTATTTCACTTAAGAGTGCAGCCTCAATGTGCATCCATTTAGCTATAAATGTTTCTATTTTCTCATTCTTTACGGCTGAGTAGTGCTCCATTTTGTAAAAAACCCACATCTTTATTCAGTCTCCAGTTGATGGGCATTTGGGTTGTTTCCAAGTTGTTAAGCTATACTTTTGATGGTGGTGGAGAAGTTAGTCAAGAAGTTTTATTTCCGTTCCAAATGTAAAATCAGATGAATTATTGTCATTCTCAGAAAGTCCAGCCTCTCTGACTCATCATTTACTCCGTGTGCTGGGTACTGAGACCCTACCATACTGCCCTCCTGGAATGCCTTCTTACCTTAGGGAACCGTATTCTTTATACACCTTTTTGCACATTAATATTAATTATTGGCTTTTATGTTGTACCTATAACTCTTTTTGGCCTTCTTTTCATTTCCCAATAATTCTAGGACACACTGATATGCAGTCTTCCCTCACTTCATCAGAAAGCACAAAATGCTAAAAAAAAAAAAAAAATGAAATGTGGGATATAATCTTTTTCCTTAAATATAAGACTCAATTTTGAGAAACAGAATATGTATTAATGACTTTAAAAAACTCTCCACTGGTAGTCACATTATGGGAAATAAACCTAGAAATAAATAAATAATAAATCTAGAAATAAATCTAGAAAATAAACTAGATGTAGCAATTAGGAAACAGGTAATCCCTAATTAATTCCAAAATATGTAAACTTTGCACTGAGAAATGAACTTCTGAGCTGAGAAGGTAGTAAGTTCACCAAGTAAGCCAATGAATGAGGGCATATCAGTAACAAATGTAGAAATGACCTACTTGAATCTACTGTACTTTGGTTTGGATCAAACTTTAAATTTATAGTCCATAGTATAAAAAAGTTGTCCATTAAAATATAAGATCTCAGTGATAAATGTAACTGTATTGTTTGCTTTAAATGTACCAATAAACTTAATGGAAAAAAAAAAAAACAAAACCCATGAGAACTGCAGCAGGAGAGAAGCAGAGGCCAGAAGAGCAAAGGCCATAGTTTCCGTCCTCATCTGTTGGCCTTCCCTGGAGTGCCGCGCTGGGTTCGGGGACCCGCTCTGATCACACTGATGAGGGCGTGAGGGGAGAGTTTGTGGACTTGGGGTGTTTGGCCCAGAGACAAGACTCCAGTGGACCTTTCAGTTGCTTTGACTATCAGAAGGGCTGGCAAGGAGGAAGACTCCAGAGAGCATAACAAAGATGACTGTTTTGAATTCACAAGGAAACTAATTTCAGCTCCAAAATAAACACTTTTTTTTTTTTTTTGGTATAGGAACGGAACCCAAGGCTTCCTGCATGCCAAGCAAGAGCTCTGCCACTGAGCTGCAGTCCAGCCCTAGGGAAACACTTTCTGATAGTTAGAGCTATGAGCAGTGACAGGATCCAAAACAGGATGAGCTGTCTCAGGAGGCAGGGAGCACCAGGGAGCACACATGAAGTAGAACAGCCCATCCCAGAGGGTGTCTTGGGACATTCAGCCATGTGGTGGAGGCCAGGGGGAAGTGGGCTCCACAGCTCCCTACAGTCTAAAGATTCCACGATTCTCTTATTTACTCTGACAGAGACTTTCTGCTTGTGGTGGGGTGGATTCCCACGGGGAAAGCCAGCCCTTACCTGCTATAATGGCACTGGTGGTAAAGAAGATATGGTTCACCGGGACCACTGCGGTCGTATTGTAGAGTTTCATGGCTTGATTCAAGAACCTAGAGCAGAAAGTACTTTTTGAAGCTCAGGCTTAGAGACGTTCAGGAATAAGTTAACAATGACTTCAAGACATGCACGTTCTTTAGCTATAACTACAGAGGGAAAGGAAGTGCAGCGAGAGGGCATTTCCAATCAGCAGTCATAGCTTATATGCATCTGATGTATGAGATCAGATGTCAGGTTTTATGGTCTGTTTAAACCAACAACAGTAACAATGAAAAGCAATTAATCATATTCCGAGGCCACAGAAGTTTGAGTTGGAAGCGATTCAAGCTGCTGGACCAGTATCACACTGGGGCTGATTCATTAGGATAGGCCCTAGAATCTGTTAAGTATCATATCTGGGGAATAGTAGAGCTATCCATTGACATGCCATGTGCCAAGAGAGAAGATGGAGAAGTAAAGGAATGTTTAATGTTCCAAAAACAGTGCTTGGTGCTCCAGCTGCAGAGCACATGTAGGAGCTCAGCTTCCCTCTCTGGCCACCGGCAGGAACTTGGGTTCCCACACTGCGCTGTGCTGCCCTGTTAGGATCTGGACTGTTTCCCAAAGTGCTGAATTGCTTGGGTACCAACCTGGGTGCTTTAACAAGGCGTACATGGTTAGGTCCCAATCTAGCACAACCAAGAGACCAAAAGAAGAAATCTTTGTGGGTATAGCCCAGGTCTGTGTGTGTGTGTGTATTCATACATATATATAGGGACATGTGAACCCAGGAGTACATGTGCATATCTGCACATATGTTCTTCACATGTTACATGTCCAGACAAATTTTGTCAGACAATTTTATCAGGCAACTGTGGCCGAGAGACACAGTTCTATGATGTGACAGGTGCAGGGACTGAATGGACACAGTTCACCTTCCATTGTGTGCGTCTTTTATATTCTTGAAGCATATCACAAGGATAATCATGCTATCACTAAGTCCCAAAAGATACTGTAGCACTATGGATTCATTTGGAAGAAAGAGAGAAGAAAAATAATAGCAACATCCAAGTATTATAAACACACTCAATCTTATGAAGCATGCTAAACAAAACAGTGGCAAAACACTGGTTTCTCTAGTAACCCTCCGCAGGCCTTGCCTACATCTGGCCCAGAACAATTATTTCTGCTTCTTGCAGAAGGAACCACTCACATTCCGAGTTTGAGCTTTGATTACCAAGCTGGCAAGGGGTGGGGGTGGTGCTTGCACAGAGTGCTTTGGGGTGAATGGCAAACTCTCCGGCCAACTCAACAGAACGTAGCAAGCAAAGGCATAATAACAACGTGAAACGGAGGGGAAGTGATTAGAGCAGTTGGAGGTGGGGTAGAGAGGACAGAAATTAAAAATATTCCACGTCACCAGGATGAGGACCCAAGAGAAACATAAAACAATCATTCTGCAATCCCAAGGGTGCAAAGCAAATTCTGGCTAAAGATGCAAACTGCTGGAGAAAGGATTTTTTCCTCCTGGCCAAATGTCTGGCTTTGTCCATCTCTGGGCAATTAATGAGCATGAGCTAAGAATTGAAGGTGAAAGGTTCACTTATTTCCTATATTTAGAGTGAAATTCTGGACGTGGACCTGCCCCTTTGATTTATTGCAAATGACAACCTGTGTACGATGGATGTTAATTATAAGCAGAAGAGCATCAGGAAAGCATCAAAGCGCACTTAGCTGGATTATGGCTGCACTTTAAAATGCGCAGGACGAGAAGGCGATGCGTAGTAAAAACCTATTATTGGATGCGAAGGACAAGGCGAGGCATGCCAGCTGTGGCTAAACTGTAGGTGTTCACCCTTAGCAACTGAAGCTCATTTTAATTATCGTCTGAAGCCAATTAAGATGAATGCTCAGAGAAGCACAGGAATGCTGCAAGATGCGTGAGGAGGTAGAAGCTAACTTACTTGACTTGGAAAACACAAGATGCTATCATGATGACAAACATGATATAGAAGATGGGATAAGTTAGTTGCATTTTATCCATCACAGAGAAAGTGATCATGCCTGAGACAGCTTTTACTGATATAACGGTCAGTGAGGCTGGAAGAGAAAACAAAAACATACATAAAGCACATATTTGAGACAGGACTTCAGCTCAGATCTTTCTTATGTTTGCACGGCGTCCCGATGATGCTTGCCGAGGGAAGACTGTTGTGACCGGTGCAGGGGAGGGGGTGCCACGGACCAAGTAGTAGCTCTGTTGCTCAAGCTACGCTGGACTTCAGATGTGTTTCAGTCAGCTGAAGGCCTGCTGGGGGCTGAGTTTTTTTATTTTTTTATCTTTAGAGCAAGACTTCTACTTTCCAGCTCTGGCTGTTGAGAGGATGCCATGGAGATTGGGAATACTGGTACACGAAAAAGGTGAAATCAGCAAAGGGAGGGATAAGAAAAGTCAGGCTGTCCATGTGACATTTATGGGGAAACATTAAACTACTGAAAAATGGGAAGCTAAATAGGCGAGAAAACGGGAAGCTGGAAAGCAACTTATTCTTTGAGTCTACTAAGCACTGTACAATACGTGTAAGCCTTTCATTAGATGCTCAGAAGTTTTATTAGAAATGCTTTTTGACAGACAAGGGACAGCTGGACCAGGGCTGAGTATTGGTTTCTAGGAGTGAACCCTAAATCTTAGATTTACAGAAGCGATATCTGTTTATTTCCTGTGCAAAAGAGGGCTTCATCCTTATGAGAACAGATTTTTCGGGGGTTTTAAATAATGGGTTCAGAAAAACGGACTTGATAAGGTTACAGCACTGTGAAAGCATTGAGTATTTTCTTCTTGAGTTTCTGTGGGAAGAACATAGCACTTTTGTTCTGTCTCAGGCCCTTTGAAGTTATTATTGCAAACAATCCCATAGTTTGGCTGAAAACCCACAGAAAGTTCAGAAATTATTTTTATATGAAATCAAAAGCACTGTGAAGGAGAAATAGTCCCTTTGTTGCTGTTAATCTATTTTGTCATAATATATCTGAATATTTTCCTTTTAGCTTTTGAAAAGGTATTATTTCTATATATATATATAAAGTATGTTTAACATAGCAGGTGAAGGCCAACCAGAAAGCACCTCCTATAATTTCCTTTACCAGAACCTGAAAATATACTATACCTTGAAGGGTACTAGGGTACAATTTCACATAAAGCATTTTTTTCAGTTAAAAGTCATAATTAATAAAGGAGACAAGGTGATAAATTCAAAGAACAGACCCCCGGTCTGACCTCGAAACCAGGCTTCTCTCCAGCTTAGAATATCTTTTGACCTGATCTTTTCACCTATTTCAGATGTCTGGCTGACTGATTATGACAATAGTCATAGCTTAGCTAATCTAGGAATTTTAAAGATCTGTAGTGATCTACATGTCACTTGATGGTTTGGGTTTTAGGTCAGCTCTTCAAGGACCTTCATTTCCTCCCAAAACAGTGCCTGAGACTGGAGCACAGCGTGGTTAATTCCGTGGTCTGACCAGCCACGCCCTCAGAAGAGATAATTAATGGAAGAGGAGCAGGACACACTGTTCCATTAGCCTCAGCGCCTCTGGACTGCAGGAGACCCTAAGGGTCATCGAATTTAACTGCCATCTGATCTTAACTTCTACTTAAACACAAAACAAAAGCAAAACAGAATTTTTTTTACTAAATTGCTAAACAGTTTTGATAGATAATTATTATATATTCAAAGCATAAATAATCACTAACTGATTAATCCCTATTATAGCTACAAGTTATTTCTAGACTGGTGTCAAGCATTTTAAACCTTTTTTTTTGGGGGTGGTGGGGTGGTGGCTGGTGATGATAGATGAAGCTACAAAATTGTAGTATATTGGTCTAATATACTTATATATACGTGCATAGAAAAAAGGCTAGAAGGAAGTTAAATAAGGTATGGTACTGTCAGTTGTTTTCTATATCACTGAAAATAAGAATGAACTCTAAACTCATTTAAATAAGTCTATAAAATTGGGTGTTCACAAAAAATAGAAAATGCAGAAAATCTTGGAGTGAAAAATTAAAATTACTGGTAATCTCAGCACTCAACCCCAAATGATTCTTAACCTTTGGGTGCATTATTATTTCTCCATTTGTAAGTATGAATGTATCACAATATGTGAATTGTATGGAGAACACTTAGGAGTCTATTTTCTATTACTATTAAATACTTTCTATGCCATGGAGTAGTCTTCCCAAGCTTGACTTTTATTGGCTGTAAAGAATCCTTTGTATGAATGTATGTAATTTATTTTGACAATTCTCTATTTTTGGATGTTTAGCTCGAATCCATTTTCTATTAAATATGAGGCAGCAGTGAGTATTTGTGAATATAAATCTGTCTATCATTCTGCCTGTTTCCTTCGGAAAATCACACGAAGGGGAATTACTGTGTTGACAGCCACCGTGAAGGCTTCTGAAACATCCTGGCAAGGTGCCTCCCAGAGAATGCCAGTCCCACTGTCGTACTGTGCTACAGTGCTCAGTGACATGGATTTTTATAGTTTTCTTCTCTATTTTCCTAATTAACAACAAACATACTCCTTTTGTTGCTACAGTACCACCATGTGCGTACTCTGTGTGTAAAACTCAGCCCTCTCAGTCGATTCTTAGCTCTTTATCCTGTTCCAAGGACTTCTAGATGGGCAGATCCTAGACCAATGTCTCCTCTTTATAAGCCATCAGTATTTACTTTGTTAATTCTGCTTTGACGAACAGCCTGTGCTAAGGACAGAGAAGAACTTCATGCTTCTCCAGCTTCCTGACCTATGGGAAGGAAGGACTGGTTACAAGACTCTCTTAGCAGCTGTATATACCACACTGTGCAACCAAACTCCAGAAAACAAACCAAACTCCACACCGTATTTCACCGGAGAGTTTGTCAATATTTTCAGACTGCTAAGACAATAAACCTCAAATATTCTTATCACAAAGAAAGTATTTAAAAGGATGGTTATGTTAAGTAGCTTGATTTAAATATTCCACATGGCATTCATAAACCATAGCATCATTTTGTGCATCATAAATTTATACAACTATAAATTGTCAATTTATATATAAAATGTGTGTGTGTGTGTGTGTGTGTGTGTGTGTGTAAAAGAAAGATGGCATAAAGCTGAAAAAAAAAAAAAAGAAAGAAAGGTGGCAGGCACAGGCAAAGGAAGCCACTCACTGGAAGCCAGATTTCTTTCCTCCTGATTGTTCTCACTTTCTATTTATTTGTTTGTTTCACTTGCTATCCACCCCTCAATGTTATAGCAACAATAGAGAAAACACTCCATCGCTTCCTCTCCCTCTCGCTCACTTCCAGCTTTTGCCTCACTTGCTTTCCATCACAATAAATGCCAGCACAATGTTGTGTGCTATTTTTTCCACTTTATGTAACACTGTGTTTTCTGAAGCTGCTACGTGACCATCATAACTTTTTTCTTGAAAAAGTCACCACAAATCGTAAAATACTCAAACAGCAAATAGAGTCCAATGAAGAGGGGCATCTCTTCTCTTCTCTTACTGTGAGAATACTTCTGGTGTTTCAATGTCAAGTTCTTCACCAGGTATGGATATTCAACTTTAACAGGCCTTTTCAGCATCTATTCGATAACTACATGATATGCAGTTTTCCATCTTTGTTGAGGTATTAAAAAATAAAACTGTATAAATTTACGGCATACAGAATGACTATATATATTTATATAAATTATTACTATAATCAGGTTGTTAAACACATTCATCACCTCACATAGCATTTTTATATTTGTATGTGGTGAGAGCACTTATTTAAAAAAATTAATTCATTTTATTGGTACATTTTAGATATACATAATGATCGCATTCATCAAAGGGAATTTGTGCCTGTACAAGATACATGTTGATTAAAAGAAGATCAAGAACATTTAATATTTACTCTCAGCAAAAGTTGACTATGTATTACATTGGGGATTGGTGTCAGCTTAGGCAGCATATTGTATGTTAGATCCTCAGAACTACTCATCTTATGACTGAAAGTTTATTTCACTTCACCAAGGGAAATGCTTTTCCCTTCTAATTTGTTAACACGATGCACGATACAATGATTTCCTAGGAGTCATCATTTTAGGGCAGGAGGATCATGAGTTTCAAGCCTGCCTGGGCTACATAGTGAAACCCTGCCTCCAAAAAAAAAAAAAAAAGAAAAGAAAAGAAAAAGAAAAAAACAGAATCCTTATTTTATTGCCAAAATTAACTAACTAGTTACTTAATTCAGGTGTTTATTGTGAGCTCATTGTACGTACTCAGTTCTAGGTAGGTATATGTAGTACGAATAAAAGACATGTTCTGTACCTTCACCAAACTAATCTGGGAGGAAGACAAGGACAGAAGAAGGTAGTAAACATCGAAGTAGAATGTGAGTACAACTGGTTGTGAGTGTTACAGAGAAAAAGAACAAATTTCATACGATCATTTGGTTATGAACATGGACTGCTCTGGATTCTCTTTGCTAATATTTCATTTAGGGTTTTTTTTGTGTCTGGCAGCGAAATTAGCTCATAGTTTTCTATATTTGTGCTCTCTTTTTCAGATTTGAGAGCCAATATTATCTGAACATGTTTTAAAAATGTGAAAGTTTTCAAGGCTTGAAGACATTGTTTTTGAAATTGTGTAGGCCTGAAGTTTTTTTTAGGATGTGTCTTTTTTTTTTTTTTTTTTTTTTTGTACCAGGGATCAAAGTTGGGACCTTGTGCTTGCGAGGCAGGTGGCAGAACCACTGAGTTAAATCCCTGGACCTGGGGGACATGGCTTTTCTAACAACTTTATTTTTTTCAAGTTATTTTCGTTTAAAAAATAAGTAAGCTGGGCGTGGTGATACACACCTGCAATCCAAGCACTTGGGAAGCTGAGGCAGGAGCATCACTGTGAGTCCCAGGCCAGCCTGGGCTGCAAAGTAAGTTCAATGCCAGCCTGAACTGCATAGCAAGACCCTGTCTCAAAATAAACAGAACATAGGGCTGGGGATTTAACTCAGTGGTGCTGCCACCTGCCTTGTAAGAGCAAGGCCTGAAGTTCAATCCTCAGTACGCCTCCGCCAAAAACAAACAAAAAAACCCAAAACAAAAAAGTAAATAGCTTATTTAGGTATGTAAATTAAAAAGTAATTTATTTAAGTTTTATTAAAAATATATATCCTTTCATCCATTTATCTCATTTTTGAGTATTTGTGACTTTTTTCTGATGAAGGATGTATATCAGTTGCCTTTTAAGAACTGATTCCTGGGATTATTTATGAATTTGTTGCTGTTCTGTTTTCTATTTCATAAATTTTTGCCTTTATCTTTATCGACTGTTCCTTTCTGCTTTCCTTAGGGTTATTTCAGTATTTTTTCTGATTTCTTGAGCTGAGTGCTTTAACTTAAATTTAAAGCAACTAATTTCCTCCCAAGACAGCATTAGTGAATAACTATAGGTTTTAATATCATTTTAACAATAATTTTAAAAATATGTGCTGCAACGAAGTCTTGGGTTTTCCTTTACCCAGTTGCAGTCTGAGAATTGTTAACATTTCCAGGTGGTAGGGTTTTGCTGGTTTCTATTTTTGTTATTATTTTCTGTTCTTATTTCACTGTGATCTGAGAATGTGGTCTGTACTATTTCAACTTCCTGAAATTTACCGAGGATCTTTTTTTAGTGACCAAATATATAATCAACTTTTGTAAATGACACATAGGCACTAGAAAGAAAGTGCATTCTCTATTTTCAGGATTTAGAATTCAACATTAGAGGTATCAGTTCAACATTAAATATTCAGATCCTAGCAAATAAACACTATGCTTTTGAAATAATTTGAAAGTCATATTTAGTTTGATGGTGGTTTGTTTTTTTTTAAAAAGCAAAATCACTGAACTTGTGTAACAGTAAAATAAATATTCAGATCTTTAAACTTAAACATATTTTAAATTTCTATATATCTAATAAGAGCTTAGAGAAGTCTCCTACTTCCTTTAATATTAATATTTCTATTAATATAGTTTTGCAGTTTTCTGAAGATTTTCTAATAGCCTATTACATGTCATGTTCTGGATTGGACTCTCTTTTAAAATCAGGACAATCCTCCTGTCACATTTAATGTTTTCTGTCATGATTTTAAATTAGATAGTAATACTGTGATCTGATCCTTCCTTTCCTACTTTCACATTATTTGACTTACGTTGCTTCAGGTAAAATTGACAGTAGACAGCTGAAACACTTTGAGCCCACTGGGAAGAATGTTGGTCCGGCTGCCCCTGTGTTCCTACTTGGTGGCTCCTTGAGTGGCCAGGAGAAGGAGCACTGGAGGCCCGGGGGAGGGCTGTTTGAATAGCTTGAAGCTGGACCTGTGCAAATGGGCTGTGTCCAGCTTCAGAATCTTTTTCAAAATCACCGGGCAAGTTTCTCTGATGTCCAGTTTGAGAACTTTCTATTTTAGGTTAACTTATTCCATTTACATTTATGCTTATAATTGATATGTATGATCTTAATTCTGTTAGTTAACTTACATTCCTATTTAAAGTTCCCTTTATTTTCATTATTTTTCTATATACATATTTTTCCTCTTTTTGGTTGTTTGCTTTTGTTCTCCTTATATGGCAACTTGGAAAAAAACCAAAAATGTTCCCTTTCTGTTTGTTATCTTGATTAACACTACATCCGAACACAGGGTTGAGTAACATAATGTTTCTAAAAGTAACGGTGACAAAAGCAAACCCTCCAATACAAAGGAGATGGAGATATGAAAGTCCCAGCATCTTACTAGTATGGGGCTTGCAGCCTGCCCCAAAAGTGTAAGTACAACCTACAGAGTCACAGCAAACAATACCTGATGTATGGGATGACTTATAGACAAAGAATAGGTAAAGGAAGAATTATAAAAAATTTTCTGAAAAAGGAATTTCCCAAATGTTCTGTGAAATCCCTCAGTGTTGGCAGATGAGAGGGAGGGAGGGACATTAAAATATAGTAAATTATTGAAGTGTCAGATTTCCAGCCTTGCAAGGGACTTCTTTAAAAAAGTGAGTGAGTAGCTGGGGATTTAGCTCAGTGATTCCACCAACAACCTCACAAACGCAAGGACCTGAGTTCAATCCCCAGTACCAAGGGGGGAAACAAAAAAAAAAAAGTGAGGGAGCCAGTAAACAATGTGTAAAAGGAACATGCTATTTTATTTGTTTCATATTAGCTATATTTTGAAGTTTCCTAGGAAAATAAAAACAGTAGCTCAGTAATTCCTCACTGAAAAGTATTAATTACGTTCATTGCTTTGTTTCTTTTAATATTTTTGTCATTTGTTAAAAATTTCTGAAAATTTCAGGAAGTAAAATTGCCAAAAAAATCCTTTTGCATGTATTTAAAAAAATTAAATATGTATCAATTGACTCATCCAAAGCATAATTCATATAATTTAGGCTCAGTTTCTTTCTAAAGGTCAAAGCTGAGAAACAGCAACAGTGATATAGGAATAGAACATAAAAGTTCTTTCCTTCAGGCCTCATTTATGCTTTAGTGTGGGGTCATTAGACAATGACATGTCCTTACCTAGAAGTGCCACCAGGGTCAGCAGAATCACAATGTGCTTCATTCCTCTTCTTTTATGGAAGTAGAGGAGAATGCAGAAAATTAATATTTCAAAAATCTAGGCAAGGAAAAGATGAAAAAAGGAGTTATGCTACATCAGGTCTTCAAAATGCTGTACTTTTTGACTTTGCAACAGTTCTCGTGAGGATGGACAGTGACTGAGGTTCCTAGGGATGGTAAACGTAAGAGCACAACATACGGCGCCTCAGCGGCGGGCACCCACAGCTTTCGCACCGCTCGGACACCCAAATCTAACTGTGCAGCTCTGGGCCCCTGCACCTCGTTTCATTTACCTAGACTCATCCATGGGCGTGTTTAATAGCCGCTGCACATAACACGGCAACACTTAACCCTGACCCCTACTTTCCGGTTGGGACTTCCCAGGGCCTCTGCTCTCAGGAACTGTCCTGTTGCTCAAGCCAAAGCTTCCTCTTTCCTTTCCGCTCTGCCATCTTTTCTGTACTGTGCAGTAGCAATAATCTGATTTGCCTCTGATTTTACAACAGTCCAGCCATTCAGCAACAGAAGAATCATTTAAAAATACAACTGTGAGAATGAAATATTTAATCCACAGGGAAGAATAGATATACTATACATTTCATTTCTTTACAGTGGTAACAGGACAAGCACTCATATGACTTCTCCCTAACCCAGGCAAGAACCTAGACACCTTAGAAGTCTTTTGGGTGTCCCTCCCTGGCTGCACATCTCAGGAACCACTGTACTGAATTTCACTCTTCAAAGGAGTTTAGTAGAGTTTAGTAGTGTAGTAGCGTTTATATATTCCCAAACAATTTGTTTATTTTGCATATGTGTGGTCTTCCTTTATAGAAATGGAATTGTTTCACTTGCTTGCTTTTTCCACTCTGAATTATGTTTACGAAATCCATCCAGGATGATACAGGTAGTAAAAATGTAAATCAGACCCAATTATTCCTTTGCTTAAAATTCCTTTGATTTTTTACCCCATTTAAATTAAAGCTTATGCTTCTGGATAACAAGGCCCAGTCAACTTCTTGGACTTTAGTCTACTCTTTACTTCTGGATGGTCCACTCAGTGCCAGGCACAATGGAGTCTGTCTTTTTTTCCTCCCCTCCCCTTTGTTTCTTTCTTTCTTCTTTATTCTTCGCAGCTCTCAGTCTGTTTCTGCCTTTCGGCCTGTGCACTAACCATGCTGTCTGACCAGGGCTCCTTCCAGTCACTGCTGTCAGAGAGTGTGTTGCTCTCCCTCCTCCGACAGGTCCTTCCTGACTAGTCTGACCTAAAAGAGCCACCCAGTCCCTGTGTCACAGCCTGGCTTCAGGTTGCTGTAGCAGCTTTATTCCCGCCTCGTGTATGTCTTGTTCATACACTGGGTTTCTTGTCTGTCTCCGCCACCAGAATGCCAGCTTAGTGAAAACAGGGATTCACTATTCTTCCACTCTATCTCCAGCGCCTGGCACAAGTCAGTCACTTCATAAGTATTTATGGAATTAATACATACATTGTGCTCCTCATTTATTACAGATAACTTAAATAGAGACACCTAAAATCTAGTTAACCAAGTGTTATATGAGATGGTAACCCTGGACTGAAATCATAAACATGAAGGCTTACTTTTTTGACAGCAGACAAATAAAAGTACCATCACCATTTTTTTTTTTCTTAAAAACTGCTGGAGGTAGGAATTTTAGTATTTCCAGGACCGCACTTTACTCGCAGAGGCCTCTCTAAAACAACTTGGATTTCTGTTGCAGTTCAAGGTTTTGCTTGTGGCTTTGTGTCTCTGTAGTTCGCGATGAATGGCAAAGCAGCGGGTCTGTCTCTAGTTTTAAAAGCTGTTCATCTAATAGGGAAGATTAAATCATCCGTTGGACTTTTCTTCTCCTGGTAAATTAAACCAATTATTTTCACTTACTGGATTTGTTTGCCAGACCTTTAATTTGATCGAGTCGTGCTACAAAGGCTATCAAGGTGCCCTTTTCTTTGCCTTCTCTGAAGCTGCCGTCGAAACACTGGTGTGTCAGTCTCTGAGCACTTCGCCCACTTGACAGAAAGACCCCTCTGGGCCTGGTAACCCCAGCCCCAGCACAGGCGTCTGTGCCTCACCTGCTGCAACCCCAGCCCACTCCCAGCAGCTCTGTAATTGCTGGAGGACACCAATGCATAGCGCTTAGTAGTTACATCTACTTGCGCACCGACCCTTCATTTTTGTGGGGACGAGGGTAGTCGCTGCTAGTTCCAAAAACCAGATATACTTTTTTTCTTTTTTCAAACTCCATCTCTGTAGCTTCAGCTAAATAAAACATGAGTGCTCATTATTCACAGACTGACTACAGTTGCCCTGGGTTCTGCTTGGTGACAAGAGGCCACAGAGCTGCTGGGAATGAAATACTCAAGAAGTACGAATGAATGTGAATGTTTTCCCACAACATTAGAAACCATCAGTATTAAAGGAGCTGTGATTTCATGGTTTCTGTGCCCCAGGAAGAGGCTGCACTGCTGACTGCTATCTTTGGGGAGAGAACTAGAAACCCATGGCATATCCTGCCCCATCCACAAACCCCCTGTCCTGGTGCACACAATCCTCATGACCATCTGGGGAGGCTGGTGTCCCTACTGTCCCCACTGTACAGGTGACGAAGCCCGGCTTGGGAGATTAGATGATGCAGCCCTAGCAGGCAGCCTAAAGGTGCCCAAAGAGGTTCAGGATTGAAGTCTCTAGAACCTGTGGCAACAGTAAGTCACATGACAAAGAGGCTCTGCAGATATCAGGAAGGCTATGGGCTGTGACGTGGGGAGCACATCCCGGGTGATGTGAGCCCAACACGAGTCCTTTAAAGCAGAGGCCCTTCCCAGGTGCCGCTGAGGGACAGCTGTGGAAGATGCAAGCCAGGGAACTCTGGTGACCCTGAAGCTCCAGGAAGCAACGACACTGATTCTCTCCCAGAGGCTCTGACAAGGAGCAGCGCCTGCCAGCACCTTGGCCCCAAGGTGAGACTTGGGTTGACTTCTGACCTAGAAAACTGCAGCAGACCATCTGTGTTGTTTTAAGCCACTAAATTTGTGATAATCTGTTGCCAGGGTAATAGAAAATTAATGCAGGTTTTGGTACCTGAAGTTGTTCCAGAGGAACTGATTTTTGAGAATTCTGGGTTGGTTCTCTACTCTAACCAGACTTGAAGGCAACAGTCACCCGGTTTTCAGTGGCGAAAAGGCCCTCGCCGTTCAGGGGATGATCTGGCAACAGAGACACATAAGTCATCACTGGAGGCCTCGCTTCTAGTACCCAAACCTGAGTTACCACCTCTTCTGTCTTTAAGTTCTTTCCTGAAAGCACCGCCTTTGATACGGCTTTTTCAGTCCGCGCTAAATGAGCTCTGTAGAGGTTCTCTCCAGCGCCACATTTGGATGAAGATTCGGTCCTCAGTAATCAGCTTTCCTAACCCTGCACAGAGAGGTGTTTAGTGAAGTGTGTTGGATGGAGTGTGTCCCTGGAGGAGAACAGGGAGAACAGCTTGCTCTGGAATTCTGGCTCTCCCACTTAATAGTTGTGTGATTTTGTGCAAATTCCTGGGCCTCTTTAGGTCTCAGTTTCCCCATCTGCGAGAAGCAGAGGCTCTTCCTCAGGTAAAGCTCAGTGCACCGGAGAAACACATGGGAGCTCCTGCTCCGCAGCAGTGCCTGTGTGCACACACCCCAGTGCTCTTTGCATCCAGACCGTAAAGCACAGAACATCAGGCAAGAGACATTAACACTGTACAGAAACACGCGTTTTCTCCCTTCAGGTTCTTAACACCTGGTGGTGGCTTTTGAAGCAGCTTTTTCCAGAAAAGCCGACTTAATAATCAGCTTTGGAGTATAGAATTACTCCAAATGACAGGGTTGGCCCTGGCTTCTGCTGATTTAATTTTTTTTTGTCTGGAGGAGAGAAAATGAGCACCATGCAGATTATTTTGTGAAGGATTTTATGTTCATAACAGAGGTTTCAATTTAAATAGTCTGTTGGAAAATCTGGGTGGGCAAAATGGCCTGCCAAAGAACATGAAGTAATTGAGGCTTAGGGCTGTGTTTCCTCATGTGAGCTCTGCAGAGCCTGGTGATAGGTATTGTTCAACAAAAAGTCCTTCAGCAAAAGGGCCCAGTGGCCCAATAGCCCAGGGTATGCAGAACTAACAAAATTAAACCTCTCTCTCTCTCTTTTTCAAGGACTTCTAGCTCCCCACTTGCTGACAGAGATGATGGATTCTGTCACGGTACCCTCAGAGGGACCATCTTGTGCAACATCTCTGTGAGCCAGCGTGACCTCGAAACCCACTGTGTGCACGGTTTGTAAGCTCTGGCGAGGAGGACTACCCATCTGCTGCAGCCACTTGGGGAAGGCTGTGTTAGTGATGAATAAAGCACACTTCATTCTTCCCTGCCTTGTGGACACCGGGTCTCAAGTCCTCTACTTGCACAAGAAGACCAGACCAAAGCTTGTCCCAAGCTCCCCTGCTGTGCTGCAGTGAGACCTCCATTTCATGAAAACCTTGAAGGCAAACTGCACTGGGGCAGGTAAACACATAGGGACGTGGACGAACCGGGCCTGTCTGTAGTGCAATTTTACAGTCCCTTTGTTGAGAAATGTGAAACTTATTAAGACTTCTACTCTGAGGGGCTGAGGCAGGCAAATCACCAGTCTGAACCCAGCCTGGGCAACTCAGTGATTTGGGGAGACCCTGTCTCAAAATAAAAAATAAATAAAGGGCTGGTGATGCAGTACAGTGAGAAGGCCCTGGGCTCAATGTCTAGTACAGCAAAAAAAAAAAAAAAAGCCTTTAAACATTTTTCTTCATCTTGTAAGTTATTTGTACAGTATGAAGAGGCAATTGAGGTGCCTCTATTTGATGTAATATATAAATGGATGAATGATTCATCAAAGAACTGTCTTGGTTGATATAATTATGATCTTTGCAGTCATGATTTGCATAAAAGCACAGTCTGCTATATCTGAGAATTAAATATTAATTACCTAGATATTTAAAAGGTTTAAACCAAACATCAGCTCAAGATCTTACACATAATCGGTCATTCCGAGTTTTTAGAGATGAAACTATTTAGTGGATCACATTTCAAAACAGCATAATGTGGATCTGTTCCTTATAGAGTCTAATGCCAACAGTGTTGTTGAAATGTGACTTTATTACTTTATTAAAGACTTATAAATACCTAGCCTTACATTTTCCTGTGTGCTATTTTCTCTCTCCCCTCTCTCTCTCTCCCTCCCTCTCTCTCTCTTCCTCTGTCTCTTTCTCTGTCTCTCTCTTCTTTCTTTCCTTGTCACAGGTCTTGCTATGGCCTTGAACTCACTATGATGCAGACCAAGCTGGCCTCTAGCTCTCAGCAATCCTTCTGCCTCTGCCTCCTGAGTGCTAGGATCACAGGCCTTTTTTTTTTTTTGAAAGCTATTTATGCTATTTTATTTTATGAAGCTATTTACTTTCAAGCATACTTTCATTATCATAATATGATTTTCCAGAAGCACAGATCTCTCCCAGCACTGTTCAGTTCCTTTTCATAATCTCAGTGTCCAATCTTGAATGGGTAAGTGAATAAAAGAATTTAAATTTGACTTTGAAGAGTAGCAAAATGTAATTAATTTAGTTATTTTGGTGGAAGTATAGTTTAATAAAAAGAGCTTTGTTTTTTAAATTGTTTCCCTGGCTGTTAAAGCAGCACAAGACATATCATCACCAAACAATGCAGTATATTCCTGGAAATAAGCCTTGGTGCATCTTTAATCTCTAAAGGATTCAACCCAGGGTATTAATATTCTGGTCACAGGCTATGTCACTCTTTTCTTCCTGGATGAAGAATTTCTTTTTGCCTGAAGGCAAAAAGTAGTAATGTATTGGTAGGACTTCAAGTCTGGCCTATCATGAAATATTCAACACAGTATAACGAATAGAAGTAAATCACAGAAATTAAAACTCCTTCTAGTCCTTACAGCTGATCGATGAAAGATGTTAAAAGACTGTGGACAAGAGCGAAAATAAATGGGGCAGGAGAAAGGCACAAAGCGTGAAAGACCTCGAGAAGGCTGATCTGAGTTGGGAAGTCCAACCCTAAAAGCTGGAAAGAAGCAGAGGCTAAGGGAAGAGGTAGGACATGACAGAGCGAGGGAAGAAACAAAATCCGTGGGTTGGGCCGGGGATTTAGCTCAGTGGTGCCGCTGTCTGCCTCGCAAGTGCAAGGTCCCGAGTTTGAACCCTGGTACCAAAACCAACCAACCAACCAACCAACCAAACAAAAAACCCAAACCAAAACAAAAAACCTCATGGGAATGAGAGTCAGGGCCGTGACACATTGGGAAGAGGTATTTCAGCAGGCAGGGCCTACTGATTGACCAATAATAATTCTTTCTCTGAAGCCGTACACAGCATGCGGAAACAGAAGGGACAAGGTAAGTAGGTAAAACAGAATGTGGCCTGTAGGAAGCCCCTAACATGGAGCAACTAACATGGTAAAGAGTTTCACAGAAGAGGCCCCACTTGAGCTGTGCCCATGAGAGTGGGTTTGCAGGGAGCTGTGAGGGGAGAAAGATGGGTCAAGGAAGTAGGGGCCTTTTCTGGCAGGAGGACCTGCAGGCACAATGGCGCCAGCTTATGTCATTGCATGGGCGGGGCTAAGTGATAAGATTTGCTTTTTAGGAGGATACTTACAGCCACAGTATGGACCCATTAAGCGGTTGCTACAGTTGTCTGAGCAAGAGATGGTGAAGGTGTGAATTAATACAAGGGCCATGGAATGTGAAAGAGGGGTCAAGTTCAAGAGACTTTAAAACATGCAGGAATGGAGGGTGGGGTGGGAATGAGGGTGGGGAGAAGTCACGTGCATCTCAGACTTCTAATATGGGAAGCTGCCGCAGAAATGCAGGAGAGCGGAGTTTGGGGGTAGAGACACGACGTTCAGCTTTGTGCAAGATCAGAGAAACCTCCAGGTGGGGGGAGAAATAAGGAGACAGAAGAGGACACAGAAAGAGAGGCAGATCTGGGTCTGGAAGGAGGATGACGTAGGGTGAGCAGTGCATCTCCTCTGATGTCTGCAGGAGAGAAGGCAGCACACACAGGCCTTAAGGGCTGGCAGAGGCAGAGGACCAGAGTGAAGATGGCAGAAGAGAGAGGCTCCAGGGGAAAGGGATGGGCATGGAGTAAATGCTGCACAAGGTTCAAGAAGGATCTGGACCAAAAAAAGCAATTCGGTTTGGCAATATGTGAAGAACGATCTCCTACGCTCCAGAAGAGTCTAGAATGTGGTGAAGAAGGAGTGAATGGAGCTGGGAGGTTGGACCAGGCCAGCGAGCACAGATGATTTGGGTTCACTTTTGGTGGTGAATGGACGAAGGGAAACAGGACAGTTTGTTAAAGGGTGTGTAGCATATGAAGGATTTTTCCTTTTGAACAAGGGATCCTAAATATCATTGTAGGGTGAGAGAATGGAGGTAAAAGGAAGACTACAAAGTGAAAAGGTCTGTGAACATTTGTGTTCCAGTGGCCAGAGTGACATGTCAGAGATGGTAGGCTACGTGGAATTCTTGTCACAGACGAGGAATCGCTGCTGTACTATCCTGGATAACACGGTGGTGATCACCAGGAAACACGTCCCGGTAAATGCCAACATCATACTTTTTTTTTTCTATACTAGAGATTAAATGCAGGGCTTCCGTAGTCTAGGCAAGCACTGTACCACTGAGCTATATACCCAGTACTTTCTATTTTTTATTTTGAGACAGGTATCACTAAGTCGCCCAGGGTGGTCTTGAACTTCTGATACTGGGATTATAGGTCGGATCTACAGCACGTGGCTTCAGTTCGCGGCTTCAGTGTCACACTTTTAAATGTTGGCCATATAAAGTAGGATCACACTGTTGTGCTTGTTTTAATGACAGAGGACAGGGACAGATAGCTTTTTGAGGTCACTTCGAATTCTAAAAAATGTATGAGTCAGTATGATTTGATTCTTTTTACAAATTTGCTATTTTACCAATCCAGTTCTCAGTTAAATGCTTAGCTAGATGATCCCAACTTTCTTCTTATAACACCCCCTTTCTAGAATATCCTTTCTTATTCTCTAACCTCAGTTGACTTCCTTAACAAGTTACATATCAACCATTTCTATCACGTTCCCCTCTTTACATTCATTAGATGACAGCCATGGTATCAAATAAAACATTTCAGTTGAGAGCTTCAAATGTCTAAAGCAGCATATTTATTTCATTCTTTCTTTACATATCACTCAGGGTTGTACTCCTGCTGCCCATTCCTCTCGATCTGTTTCATGGATTTCAAAAAGGGCTTTTTGGAAAGCTTCTACTGCTGATTGAGCATTTCAAAGTATTAGTCAAATACATTTACATTTTATAAGCTATTAGTGGGACAAGAAAAGGTTGTATTAGTTCTCTAACATCTGCAGATGCTGGTAGTCTCGGTAGTAAAATGTCTATAGTACTTACCACATAGATCAGGAACTGCCAGCCAACAAAGTAATACTGCACGCTTCTTGCTGAGACAGCCTGAGTTATATTTGGAGCAAAGTTCACCAATAAATATGTTCCTGCAATAGCCAGTGTCATACCTTAAGTAAAACAGAAAAGACAAAAATGGACAAGGGACACCTAAAGCTCTGTGTCTATGCAAACATTACCCAGAAACGGAGCATTAGTTATTAAGGAGTAGATGGTCCCTCCCTATTAAATCATGATTTATCAAACCATTCCTAGAGAGCATCACACAGTCACTGAAAGGGGTGATCTTCAAAGGAGGGATAAAAGCTCAGGAATGTATGAAGGAGGGCATAACTTTTGATTTCTCTCTGTTCCAGGTGAATTCCAGCCTCTTATGGGAAGCTTTCCTGGAAGGTAGAAAAGGTCAGACCATGTGCACGTGGAGACCTGAAAAACCTCCAAGCTAACAGACCATTTCTTTGTTCTTGTTTGGCACCTGGGATCGAACTTGGGACCTTGTACTTGAGAAGCAGGTGGTGGCACCACTGAGCTAAATCCTTGGCCGACTATTTCTTGTGTGCCAGTGAATCATGATGGAGCTGGGTCCCGGCAGTGAAGTCCACCTACTCGTCTCAGCAGCCTCTACGCCCACCCAGCTGGCTTCACCTTTGGAAACACTGCCATTCACTGGTGTCCTTTTAGCAGAAGTAACAATGATGAATGCTGGCCTACATTTTAGTTAATCTAATCTAGGAACTAGAATTCTAAGGTCAGCTTAGTAAAAACAAAAGACATCAGAAACCTAAGGCCAGGAGTGTGTTCCTGTCACCGTTTTAGCCTCACTAAAAAATGATGAAGGGAACTGTGGGTGGGAGGCGAGGCCACCAAAGGAGGGGTGAAAGGAGGACTTGCTTTTCTGAATACCTCTAAAAACTGCTTATTTACATATAATTAGCAGCCTGAGAAAACTGATACAAGTAGCATTTTTCAGACAGCACATTTGAAAACACAACCCAGCTAATTCCATCACTGAGATCAGTATTGTTGTGGGTAGAATTTACAGCCAGCATTGATTCCAACCTGAAACAATTTAGCTGTGTATAAAATCTCACAGCTTGAAGGCACCAATTTCCTATTCCTCTTAGCAGCATAATTTACATTTTGAACTCTAGTTTCTAAGAATGAATACTGTTTGGTTTTTCACATAAGCTATACAGTATCTATTCAGGATATTTTAGAAGCTACAAATAAGTTTTTAAAAGAATTTATTCTGTAATACTCTGTGGAGACAGACTATATACATAGTTTTAAAAGCTATTTCTAATGAGAACTTTTATACTGAAAAACAACATACATTATTAAACACTGTAGTAAAAGCAAAATAATGAAAATTGTATATAAGGACCCAAGGGAAAATTATTGGTCAGTCATGTCCTTTTCCTTGGACAAGAGGTTATGTATTATAATTATCACCAATTAGGTTCCTGGAAGGGTTAAAAAATGGTTTCTAAACTGTTCATATACAGTAGCATAAAGTCATTGAATATACTTTTAAAAGTCTCAGGCCAGGCATGGTGGCGCACACTTGTAATTCCAGCACTTGGGTGGCTGAGGCAGGAGGATCACTGTGAGTTTGAGACCAGCCTGGGCTACAGAGTGAGTTCCAGGTCAGTCTCAACTACATAGTGAGACCCTGTCTCAAAAAAAAAAGAAAAGTCTTAGAAACCTTGGTTTCTTTTGTGATATCTAATCTTCTTTATTAAGCTCTTCTAGCAGATTTTCATTTCATCTATCTAGTGTCAATTAACTTTCCTGTGTTTTAATTTCACATTGAGTTGGTAACACATTTATGGAGAGATACAGTGTGACCAGTGAAGAGTGAAGTGTCTCTCACACCCTGATGGGCGCAGCTCCCCTCCCTGAAACTGTCCCTGAAATATTTGAATTGCACTGCTACTTGTTAGCTGGAAGAGCCTAGACAAGTTACTGATCCAGCTGTAACTCAGTCTCCTCATCTCTAAGTATGAGTTAGGTCATCAGACCCCAGGAATTTGCTCCATAAGAGGCCATTCTGGGCACAGAATACTCTTGGAAGCGCACCTGGAGGCCAGATGTGACAGAGGACCTAGGACAGATCCATCTCAGGATGTTGGCTGCCTGCATGAGTCAAAGACCATCTCAATTCTGCTTAAATGGATCTACAGCGGCATCTCTAACAGTATAGCCCAGGGATGAGCAGGGACTGTTACTGGAGCTGTCTGTAAGGAAGCAACAACCCACTTTGACAACAGAAGGTATAGTAGAAAGAACTGGCTGGTGACTTTCATTGCTTAGTGAAGATGACTCTCCACTGGTCTTGACAGAAAATAGGAGAGAAATGACCTAATATAAACAGAACCCCGAGAAGCAGTTATTGCAGTACTATGCTCCCCACAGCTAACCTCAGAAACTGGTGCGCACAGCAGCAGCATCTGGACATTGGAGCGGACCAGAAACAGAGCAGCCAGGAAGCCGAGGGTAAGATGCAGGGAGTAGTCCAGGCCTGGAAACCAGATGCCACCATGTCAGGGATGTGGCCCCATCTTCCTCCCTCACGGCCAAACCAGCAGCATTTCCGTTGTCTCATCAAGTTCAGCTCAAGTTACTTAAAAGTGGGCTGGTGGAACTGTCACATTTATCTTTATACAATATACAAACAATGAAATCTCTTCCTTTAAACTTGTCCTATGTGTACAGCAGGTACACAAGTAAGTCCCTACTCTTTCCAATAGTATAGACTAAGTTTCCTGGGAGGGGATGTGACAAAGAACAGTAGTCCTCGTTTTTAAGGTGATATTCTCAAAACTACTGATTTCACAGACAAGTATGGCTGACATATTAAAATGTGATAACAAAAACCAAGATAACACTCTGAGCCCAATTCTAAGTGCTTTAGACATAACTAATTTTGTCCTATGACAAATTCTTTATCAGGGAGGGATACATTTCAAGGCCTCTGCAACCTCAGATAGTACCAAACCCTAATACACTAGTTTTTTTCTCTACAGGTACATAGCTATGATAGTTTAATTTATAAGTTAGCCACAAGAAGATATGAGCCCCAATAACTAATAATAAAATAGCATACAATCACAATGATATACTTTCATAAGTTATTTAAAGCTCACGAATTGCTTATTATTTCTGGAATTTTCCATTTAATATTCTTGGTTTGCAGTTGATCACAGGCAACTAAAACCACAGAAAATAAAAGTGTGGATAAGGGGGGATGATTTTTTATTATTGTGTGGTTATACTATTATAACATGTACAATATAGAATTCATATTGTATATAACAAATACTAATGTGTACAACATATATACTCAAATTATGACTGTCTACATTTGACTAATGAAGACACTGAGTCACAAGGGAAGGGATTTTTCCCTGGGATTTTCCAGCTAATAAGTGGTGTGCTTGGACTAGAACCCAGGCAGTCTATTTTCTTAAGACTTACATTCTGCCCCTTGCATTAATGAGGGAGCAAGGCTGCTGAGTAGGAAGCTCAGGGTAGTGCAGTCTATGGGAGTCTACGGGAACCCCTGTGGCTGTACAGAGTACAAACTGGCAGGACAGAAAGAACTGATCCCTGTGGCAGAGGTCCCTGGCTTCTGACTAGTCTCATGGAATTTCTGGTCCCAAAGTTCCTTTAGCAGAAGGTTCCCAAGTTGGTTTTCCTTGTAACCAGTTTCAAAAGATAGATGTCCCACCGAAAAGATTATATTGCCTCAAAGTCATGTTTTAGGGAATATATTGTATTTGGGGGGTATGCTTGCTCTGAACTGGACCTGGCTGTGAGAATACAGCCTTTGTTTCAGGAGGCTATTGTTCTGCTGCTGTAAAAGTGTCTGTTAGACACCTGTAGGCAGGAATGAAGTATAACTGTGATTGTAGGAACTGAGCCTGGACTCAGGCCTGTCTTGGTCTGCAGCTGTTCACTGACTGTTCCCGCCTGCCAGGCTCCTGCTTTTGCCCTTAATAAAAATCTAAAATCTTCTTGAATTTTGTCACCACTACCCAGTGGGGTGCCAACTATTATTAACTGCCTATTTTCCAGCTTGTGGAATTTGCATTGACCTGGTTTCTGGGAGCCTTCAGAGTTTTTTAGCTAACCTGACTCTAAACAAAATTGCTGTCTGGTTCTTTTGGTCCCTGTAGTGCGTCTCTTAATCCACAGGCGTCCAACAAGTGCTTTTGTGGGACACCAGGGGTCATAGAGTTAACTGGACTCCTCGACACCAGACCATTTAGAACTCTTCCGGAAGTGCAGTCATTCTAGGTTTCCTGGGCTCATGGCATCTGAAATTTAAAGGAACCTGGGAGATCTCAATAATGCAGTGAATCCAATGGCCTGAGGTCTGCTGTCACAAAGGCTCCCACTGTTGAGGCAACTCTGAAACCAAAATGCTCAACCTGTCCCTTCAACCGGAAATGATGCTTCCTTCGGCTAGTTTCTAGATACTGGACCCAAACCATGCTGGCTTTGGGTGTGTGAGAAGGATGGAGGAGGCCTTTACTTCACTATTAGTATCATGGCTTCCCATGGAGGGAAATCTTTGTAGGTGACTTTATGTATGTAACCTATTTATTGTCTATGGGCAGTGCTGCTGAGTTGACTATAATTTTTATTTCTATGATAGCATTATCTAGGCTTAAATCGAGTAGGATCTCACAGACTATTAGCTTTGATACTTTTGATGATGGAGGGGGAAGAAAAGGGAAAATACTCGAGTTTTTGGTTGGTTGGAGGGAGAGCAATCTGGTGTTTTTAGAAGGAAAATAATCATTAAAATAATTTAAAATTATTAATCCACTAAGAATCAGAGCAGAGTCCAAAGCTTGTCAGTGAGTTAATAATAGCTGGCGATTCTCTTCAGACATAGCTTTTGTGAGGTCATTTTTTGAAGGCTAGTGGTGAAAAGCTTCATAGCCACAGAGCGGCATTTGGCAATAAATTAGTTCAGCTTGTTTCCACATGGCCCCAAAACTTCATTTGTTCCACCATGAAAAACAAACTTTCATTTGCTTCAAGTAGGGGAAAATAAATGATTTTCCTTCTCACATTTTGACAATTTAATTCTTAGCATGCTCATATGTAAATCTTTAAAAAATACCACTAGCTATTCTTTTCCCTGTTTGGTTTTAGTTTCTATAAAGAAAAAAAAAGGCATTTTTTTGCTTTTACAGGAAGAGCTAAATTTTCTTAAGACAATAGCAGTAAAGGCCCCAAAGTAAACACATGTGCCTCAACACATCATTGAGTGAGGTTGCAAAAGTCCTTCTCTAAGTACCAGTCACTGGGCATCTCAAATGATGATTACCTTTTGATATTCTTCATTGGAGGAAAGGGTGTGGAATAGGAATAAAAAATTTCTATTTTATTACCATGACGGCATTTAAAAGGTAGGAATGGATTGCTTAGACCAATAGTGTGAAATAAATGTGATTTATCGCTTATATAGCCCTACTCAAAAAGCATTCCATTAGGAAGGCAAAAACAACAAGAACAAAAACAAATCAGAGTTGTGGGACATATTAGCTGATGACTAAAGTTTGAAAAATAACCTAACCAAGGTTTTTTCTGATTAACTAGCAGAGTGCAGTGGTGGGTGATTAGAGTAATAATAATACCAATGGCTAACATCTTTGAGCACTTATTGTGGGGCAGACCCTGTTTCAAGAGTTTTAAAACCTGAATTCATTTAATCCTGGAGGTAGGTAATATTATCTTCATTTTACAGATGAGGAAACTGAGGTTCAAAGAGCGTGTTTATGTAGTTTTGCAAAGGTCACGCAGCTTGCCGGTACTAGAGATTTATAATAAACAATTGTGATCTAGCATTATCAGGTTTCCATGGTTAGAAAACTGGCCCATAGACCACTAATTATATGACACTGGGCAAATTATTTAACCTACGTATCAGACTTTGCTTCTGGAAATAGCTTGTTCCTACATTTAAATAACACAACACAACAGAGTACCTGGCAAGAGTGAATATTTGATAATTATCTTATGTATTAAAATACAAAACATTAGAGTCCTAAAGAATTAATTTGAGGTTCTATTTTGTGGTTTGTTTTCCTGATGTGTGTGTGTGTGTGTGTGTGTGTGTGTGTGTGTTTTCCATTCCTTATGTTACATTGCTAATATTAACTCTTGGATATCACTTAGGAATGAAGGTGATCATTATGATTATGTAGTGAAATTATGTAGTGATTATTATAGTGAGAACATTTTACATTTCTCAAACTGCTTTTATATGGATTATCCAATTTGGTCCTCAAACCATCTTATTTATTTGTCAGCAAACAGAGGCTTTGAGAAGTTGAGTAATACTGGGTTGGCCACACAGTTGATAGCCAAAGTTGAATCCAGGTTTGAATCCACAAGAGCGGGGTTTAACTTATATCCTTCAATTGGCTGAGCTAATTCATCCCTTCTGGTTTTAGTCACTATTGGCTAAAGTTCATATTGTAATCAAATCATCTGCATAAAGATTTCTATTTTTTCCTTTTCCATGGTAACAACTTTCATTTATTTCTCTCCTAACCCTTATATGCAGTAGCACAATAGTAAACAGAAGCTTGGTTTACCTTTCTGCACCTTTGTTAGCACTTCTCATGTCATGCCCTTTGTATGCCCTTCACCATGTCTTTGGGTGTGGCCTATGCCTGTCCTATGTAGCTGTCAAACCAATTCAAATGGTGTAAAAAAACCCCAGCTAGAGCAGTTTCTCTTTCTGTTCCCCTAGTGGTTGTCAGTGGAGGATGATTTTGCCCTTAGAGGACTCTGAGTAGCGCCTGGAGACATTTTGGGTTGTCCTGATTGGCGGAGGCTACTGGAGGCATCATTTGGGTGAAGAACTGAGGATGAAAGCACTCAACAATGCAGGGGCAGACAGCCCTCAACAAGGAAGAATCATGCAACACAAAGTGTTAGTAGTGCTGAGATTCTGAAACTCTGTTTGTTCTGAAGTTTCACGGATCACATTTTAAACAACTTATTTATAAGTATATTTTATTATGGGCTGTAAATTATTTCAGGATATTCAGCTGTAATTATATTTTTATCATTAATATTCCAGATAATTAGAAAATCCTCCATTATATGTATTGTTATCTCATAAATTAGATTAATGTCAGTAATCAATTATTAACAACAAAAGATGACAAATGTTCCACAAAAGGATTCAAAGCTTCCTTAAAGCAAAACAGGGAGGTAGCCCTTTTGTAGATGGGAAGGGGGCCTAGGGATGGAGGGAGAGGGGAGAGAGGAGAGGAAAAGGGAAAGTAAAAAGAATTAGGATGCGATATGTACATGTACCAACTTGCCAGGATGAAAGTATTCATTATGTATCATAAATATATACTAATGGAAAAAATGTCCTTAAGGCATCTATAAATGAAAAAAAGTAGGACTTAAATTTTATAATTTATAAAACTCAGGCACTGGTCATTCTTATTTCTGATTTCATATGACTTCTTCAAATGATTCCACAAACCACAACATATAAAATAGAGTATAGAAAAATAGCATGTTGGAAGAGATACAATTCACATATGAATGCATTTAGAAAAACATTTTAACCATGAAAAATTTGACAATGTTGACTAAAAACTCTACTAGCAGAATCAAACCAAGGAAGAAAAGAAAAAGTGAAAACACTTTCAAGACATTAGGCTCAAGGGAAACATGATCAGGGAAAACAAATGCTCAACATACCAAGACTGGTGTCACATTTAAGCTCCCATTTTAAAAAAATATGATCTCCCTGGAAGAGGGGAGGCATTGTTTTATTTAAAGTGCCTAAAGTATCTGTATTCATTACCATATGTCAGCAGCAATTCAAACAGGTTTTGTCAGGGAAGAAAATATGAATCTATAATTCTTCTCACCAGTGATATTTCCAACAAAAGCATGAAGATACAATGAATAAATGATAACTGCTGCTTATAACAGAAGTCTTTCTTAGAGCCAGGAAGGCTACTGTTATTTTTCTATTAATAACTATTGCAAAATAAAATTCTGAAAAGCAACCTTCTTGGTTACTTTTAGAAGAAACTAAATACAATTGGTAGTTTTAGGAGTAGTAAAACACAATAGGCTGTTACCTGGCACAGTTAATGTTGCATGGTTTTCATTGTTATGCATTAGATATGTAACAATACAGTGAATCTGAAGGTAACAGTCTACTAGGTAGCACAGATGTTTTGACTGAATTTTATTATCTTCATAAAAATTTTACAACATTAATAAGCAATATTACAGAATAATAATTTGCTATCACCAATAGCATATGGAGAAATCATAATGAAAATGGAAGTATTTTATGTGAGATGAGACAGCAGCTCCAAGATACCTCTGAGAGTTTGCACCCATTTCAGTATTTTCTCTGTTTTTAAAGCACATATTTTTCATGGATAGTATTATTTGCTTCCTGATGAAGCAATGTTACAGTTAATAATTACTCACCAAGTATATCTGAGGCTCTCAAATTTTCTTTTAGAAACATACCAGAAAAAATGGCACTACCTGTAAAGAAAATGGCCGTTAGTGGGAATTTGATACCAAAACATGTATTATGCAATGTCATTTGAAGGATGTTAAGCATTTTGTGTCTTTAGGCTGACTAGCTATGTCCTCAATAGAGACATCCCGCGGTTGTGGCTATAAAAATGTCTTTCTTTCTCCTTGGTGGTTGAAGATACATGGAAATTGGCCTCATTTACAGCGGACCTGGGACAGTGTGTCTGGGTTAGGGCCAGGCATGCAGGGAGGACTTGGTGGAAGTTTAGTCAGTGACTCAATGAAGGGAAGGAAGGAAGAAAGGAGAAAACAAAGAGGGAGGGAGAGAGGAAAAAAAGAGGAAGGAAGGAAGGGAGAAGCAATATATAGGAAGGATTGGAAAGCAGGAAAAGAAGGAAGGAAAGAAAAAAAAGAGCTTTATGCCCCAAACTGAAGTTCGTTAACTCCCAGCATTTACTCCTCTACTCTCTACTTCGAGGACACCTCTGTTCTCTTAGAAACATCAGAATCTGCGATTCTCCCCAGCCCCCCTCCTACTGGCTCCTCACCCTGTAGGCTGCTGGCTTATGTCTGTGTTTTACTCCCTGTCAGGTCCACTCCTTCCTCTTCACTTCTCTTGTCACTGCCCCAGCTCAGGCCAGCACGGCTTCTGGCTTAGACCACCATGACAGGGCCCCGGACCTCTCATTTCTCTCCTTTCCCCCACACCACCACCAGAATAATCTTTCTAAAATGCAAATTTAATGTAAATCCACAGCTTTAAAATCTCTTAATGGCTTCGTGTCATCCACAGGACAAAGGCCCCGACTGAACATGACATTCAAGATACCATGATTTTTCTCCTGCCACCTTTGCCCTTCATCTCTTTCCTATTCGAAGCTCACCCTTACTGAAATGTGTAACCATAATTCCCAGAATCCATCATGTAGTTCCATGGACCATGGCTTTTATAAGTGTGACTCTGCCCCAATTCTGTGATCGATTCTAGACTCAAATGGTGCCTCTGAATTCCCCCGGGCTGAACTGGCCATTTGACCCTTATACTGGGATGCCCTCTCTATATGGTTTTCATTATACCTAGGATTTATTTTCTTGTTTTCTCCCCAAAGATTATTAGTTCCTTTTCATCTTACAGATGTCTTCTTACTTATCTAAGATCTCTGGTGTATGGCTAGTATCTAGCATGGAGTGTTTATTCCATGAAAGGAAGTGTTTGTGGGATCTCAGTCCTTCAATTTCTGGCCCTTATGATCTTTTAGAGCTTCTCTGCCGTGACTGATGCCACTGGACTTTTTACCCCCGCTCCCAGCGGAGCCATGGCCTGCTGCTTGGGCTTCAGAGACAAGGAATAAATTGAACTTCTCTGCCTTATTCCTCTTATGGGATGGACCATTGTTCTGAGTGTAGGCATTAGAGATCTCAAAATTGCAGCAATGTAATAAAAAATGCACAATGTGATTTGTATTTTACATTTTCAACAGAAATTGCTAGTTAAGTTTTTAAAAAGTAAAAATAGGGGAGATGCCTGCTCCCGACCCAACAGCCATCGCTCAAGCGCCGGGAAGGTAGGCCGGGCCCCGATCCACTGCGGGAAGGAGAACCACGCCTGCTCTGGACCCAGCAGCCATCGCTCAAGCGCCGGGAGGTAGGCCGTGCCCCGATCCACCGAGGGAAGGAGAACCACGCCTGCTCCCGACCCAGCACATTGCTCAAGCACCGGGAAGGTAGCCGCGCAGGCGCCTTTGAACCCCCATAATCCCCCCGCCCGCACTCTCAGACCTCCTGACTGTGCAAGTCTTTTGACCCACTCTGCAGAGGCAGAGGTGGTCATAAGGGTATTTTTCTGAGTTCCCAACTTTGAACATCTTTAAAGAAAGGGCGTGGGAAACCTGTAATAGAACGTTGTGGAGTTCAACCATTCAGAAGGTTGGGGAACTCAATCTGGCCCTTGCAGCCCGAGGTCAGTCAGCATCATGGGGTTCAGCAATCAGCTAACTGAGATCGGGGTCTTCCATCCTCGCTCTGTCTGACCCATTAAATGGTAAATATACTATATTGAAAAGTTTGTTCACTGCAGACATGTTCTGGACTGCTTCTTGATTTAAGTTTAATTCAAATGATTTAAGGGTGATAGACTAGTGACTACCACAGGTGGTCAGTGTCCATGTTGTGCTTGATCTTAATGTGTTGCTGATTGTATCAGTTGGGGTAAAGCATTGCCGTTGATTTGATGAGCTGTTTTCTCTGATGTTATGAAGATGAGAATGTCTGTTGGTCGTTAGAGACACAGAAACTAGGGTGCAACTATATCAGGAAGATTTGGGTGATAATCCAGAGATTAAACCAAGGACAGTCTGACAACAAAAATTAAAATGAGAAAACACTTAAGCAAGACACAAGGACAGACTTCCAGTTCACCAATGGCAAACAGTAGGGCAAATGAGGATGAAAAGGCTGATAGTGAACCACCAGGACACTCTGAACTCAAAGCACAGGAAGTAACAAAACAGATCAATCAGGCTCTAGAAAAATTCAAAACAGAAATAATTTCCCAGATAACCACAGAGATAGTGAGCAAAATGAAAGTCGTGATTCGAGCCTCTAGAGCAGAAACTGACAAAAAAATAGATGCGCTCAGGACCATGATAGAAGCCATGAAGGCCCAGCATAAGAAAGAAATGGAAAAAATAAATGCCCATCATAGGAAAGAAAGGGAATCCATAAAACAGATTCAAACAGATATCCAGGAGATTAAACACTCTATTGAAAGTGTACACAACAGAATAAAAGAATGAGAAGACAGGTCTCAGATATAGAAGATAAGATTGCAGTCAGTGACCATGAAAAGAGAGATCTCTTAAAAACAGTAAGAGATCATGAGAAATTGATCCAACAACTCCTAGATGATGCAAAGAAGAATAACATAAGACTGATAGGAATCCATGAAGTAGCAGGAGAAAATACAA